TTCGAAGCATCGCCTCTACCTTCTCGGGGTCTACGTGTAGACCGTTCTTGTCCACCACGTAACCCAAATACTTCAGCTCAGACCTACAAAAATTACATTTTTCCCTATTTAATCTTAGCCCTGCTCTAGATAGTCTATCCAAAACGTCTTTCAAAACCTCTAAATGTTTCCCAAATTATTTGTGACGATAATAATTTGATCCAAGTACACAAAAACATGAGGTTCTAACTCGGGTCATATGACAGAAACTATAAATCTCTGCCAAGTTACCGGTGCATTATGCTAACCATATGGCATCCTCTTGAACTGAAATAGATAGATGGATAGCTGTGAAGGGCCTCGACTGCTCCTCCACCGGGATTTGCCAGAAAGTGGACTTAATGTCCAGACTGGACGGAAACTTGGCGTCCCTTAGCTTATCTAATGTCGCCGACACGTATGGCAGTGGGTAACTATCTTTCTCGGTACATTTATTTAAAACCCTATAATCTACACAAAACCTATATGTACCGTCTTTCTTCCTGATCATAACTACTCGAGACGCCCAAGGACTATGTGATTTCTCCATCACCCCTTTATCGATCATATCCTTAATCTCTTCGTCCATACGCGACTGTATGACGAGAGACACGGGGTAATACCTCTGTTTTACAGGTTCAACTCCTGCCTTTATCCTGATCCTTTGCTCGACCAAATGGGTCCGGCCTAGCCCTTCCGACATAGCCTGGAACGCACCAGCTATTGAATGACCTAATGCCCTAGACTCGGAGTGGTTCACTATTGCCACCAACGGTTCTGGTTCCGGTCGAGAAAACGACCACCTCATCCTCGATATATCCGGGATAATACCCGCCTCGGCCTAAAAATCAATTCCAAGAATTACGCCTTGCGGTAACTCTGGAACCACGAGGTATTCCAGCAGAACCGACTTGCTCTCCACCTCGAGTGGCAACAAAACCGAACCTAACACCGAGATATGACCTGACCCCCATCCGCGAGAGTCACTCTCAAAACATTAGAAACAGAATTCACTCTAATACCATACGCGTTAAGTTTTTGCCAACCTAGCCGACCTATTACTGTTCTGGTCGCACCAGAATCCGACAAAGCCCTAAAACCAAAACCGTGGATAATAACATCCAAATAAGGTCGTTCGCCGTGACCGTTTGTCACCAAAGTAAACGCCAGTCTAACTTCTTCAAACTCAACACCTACATTTGCAGGTGGGAGTTAGCAGGTTCACTAACTCGCCCTAACAGACCGCCTGTGTTGTTGTCCCAAGGGTCTATCCCATGTTTCCCGATCTGTTGACCGACCAGACAACCCTATCTCTCGATCGATAATTCCCTATTCTTTCATCCGACCTACTTTCGCTCACGGGCCCTGACCTGAAGGGGTTGTGGTTTCGCCCACCACTGGAAGCCGTACTCCGTTTGGTTCTCGGGGAGCTACTCGGCTTCGCTGCACACGCCGTGCCGTCTCGCTTCATGACCCTAAGCCTTCCGCAACCGAAGCACTATATCCCCTCCCTACACTCTGAAGAGACATGCCCGAATCTCCTTTAAAGCAACGGGTATTCGACCCCGGCCTAAAATTATCAACAGGGTCCGGCTCTGCCACCGCCGCGACCTCTACACCAGCCTAGACATAAGCCAAGTCAGGTTCCAACAAACCCTTGGCCTTATGACTCGGTGGAGGGACAAAAGCATCCACCGATGACCTCACTGCCTCTAGTTGCCTACGCAAAGCAACTAGTTCCGTGATCGACCCTATCGTAACCAGCCCTAACTGGGTCTGAGTCCTTCTCCTAATCTTATCTAGTGAGAGATCGTCGTAGTTGGGGTGCAAAAACTCCAACTTCAACTCTCGTACTAGCTCCTCCCAACTACCTACTGTCTTCCTAACCGACCTAAACCATAGAAGAGTTTCCCTACAAACAAATCCTGAGCTTGGGTCACACCGCGTGCCTAGCTCAACTCCTCAATCCGTTCTAAAAATGCGAAAAGCGACATTCCCACTTTTTCGCCGTCAAAGTGGACGTCCCACTTTGACAAGTTCACGGGCTTTGAAGACTCGACTGTCTACTCGACCACGCGTCGTATCTCCACGGGGGGGGGTACTATCGGGTCCGCACGAGTGGCACCCGAGCGCTTAACCGAACCGATTTCCCCACGACCGATTTCCTCTTCGGCTTCTTCCCGGCTGCCTACCTCTTGTAGTTCGGCGAGATGGAGCAACAACTTGCTCTTCAGCTCCACCTGCTGACTCATCTCGCCGTCATTGCCCGGTCGCGCCCGATCTATTCGCGAAAGGCACCACTCAATCTTTGCCATCGCTTCGCTCTATGCGATGTCTTGCATCCACCCGAAACCGATAATATTAAGTTTTCTACCTCCTCCGGTTTCGATTCGACCGCCGTCTTATCTTCGTCGAAGCTGAAGGGGTAGTCTTGGAAGAGGTTTACCGAACCTCTTCGCTCAATTAACCGCGATGCCCTTAGCGACCTACGCATGGCCTCGACCGTACCGACTGGAAGACCGCGTGCCTCCATCTCGTACGCGAGCTCATCCTGCGCTAACCGATTAATTTCCATGATTAAAATTGAAAAAAGAAAAACGTAAACTCAAAAACAAAGAGAAAAAAAATTATTCAAAAAAAAAATTTTGATTTAATTAAAAAATAAAAAAAAATCTATCACCCTAATGTTCCTTCCATGTTGCCCTATACTGGCACAAAAAAAGACCCTATCACGAAAAACAGCAGAAGAGCCTAACCACACGAAACAAAAAATTAATAAAATAAAAAAACAATTATTGTCTACTCAGACAACAGAACACTAACGAAATAATTTTTTTTTTAAGAAAATAAAAAAATATTTATTCAAAAAAAAAGTTATAAAATATTAACAAAAAATCTTAAATTAACATAAATAGGTAAAATCCACAAACTAATTTGAAACAATCACTACTAGTCACTTTCGGACCAGTCTCAACACAACTGACCAACAATTTTTCTTACCGGTATAATGCTCCTATGCAAATAGCACAAAACGCCACTCGAAATATGTTTTGACAAAACCGCAAACTATACCAAAATAAATATTCTATCGAGCCCCACGTTGGGCGCCAATTTGTCACCTCCACTTTTTTATTTACAATATGTATGTGCGCATGTACATACGTACATACATATGTAAACTACAGTGGCTGTTGGTCAAGAGCCTACCAACAACCACACACGTCAAAACAAACTACCGCACAAAAAGGAGATGACAAAAACTAACATAGCGACCGGCCAGGTTAGTGAAGACGGCGTGAGTCGTTAGCTACGTACAATAACAAAACTATTTGCCAAGGAAGAAAAACAACTCCAAGTTGATCTCACTAACGCTGATATAAACAAAAATAGCAAGACAACAATTTAACAGCAAATTCGAACTACTGAAAACAATAAAACAAAATATGTTTTTGAGTGCACCCGAGGTGTGGTCCGACCGAACTGGTTACGAACCCACTGGCACTACTCCCGTGCTGCCGAGGGTAACTTTAACCCGCCTGTGTGACTAGGCTCTGAGTGCGGGATGCTAGAAGGATGGGTGAGGACGTTACGAGGGGAGGGACACTGTCGGCACGACCAAGCGTACGCAAACAATATATATACAAAATGATACTTATCAGTTTCTCGGTCGGGTGTGGGTACCTAACTTCGGTGCTCCTCCGGATGATGCCAACGCAAAACTCTGGTTCCGCCACTGAAATATAAAAACCTATTTTGCACTGGGCTTCGACTGACCTTAAACAAGCCCTGACTGGCTTAAAACTTTCACTACTTTTCACTACTTTTTACAAGGCTTCAACTGCTCTTACACTAGCACTTGCCTCGCCTGGCAAAACACTAATAACTTATTCTTATTATTAATATTTTTTTTTTAAGCACACAAAACAATTCGCACGCCTGCGTAAAAAAAGAATGTTCGCTCTTTGGTAGATTGCTGGAATCTGATCCGGCACGCACTTACGAGCCAGGCCGCAAGCTACGCGTCGGCCTTCAAAATTCTCCTGCGAGTGTGTATTGGTGCCCAATCATTTGGCGCCGCCCCCATTACCCAAAGGGACCGGGCTGTATAGCGCACGCCACCATGGCACACCAAGTACACTGGGATAATTTTTCCCCTCGCCGCATTAAAGAAAAAGGCGTCACCCCTTTTTTACGGAATCCCCGCGCAAAGCTTTCCGCTGCCCTAATATTTGTTAGTGGAGGAGCCGTTTTGGGGAACACCTTCATTTGGAGACTTATACCACTGGACACCGAAAGCAACCGTGCCATCAATCCATGACTTCAAATAATGCAACTATTTGCCGACAGATGTCACTGCCAACGCTTGGAGTGAAAGGAAGCTTAGGCAAAACAAAGGAAATGAACATACAAACACAAAAGAAGTTTTTGTTGCGGCCAGTGCGCGACAACTTTATAATCAAAAGGAATTACATGGTCCTATTCCTAAATTCGCTTAAATATGTCACATATAGTACATCGTCGGCGGTATCCGCTTTGCGAGCAATAAGACTGGCCCAATAAAAAACTGCTGGTCCAGTTCAACGAATCTAAAAGATAATCTAGAACGTATTTGTTTAGTATTTTCCACCTTTGTACAAGTATATTTCCCGACTTTTCATAAAAAAAAGTGTGTCATTGCGCTACAAAACGTAAAGGAATTTGAAAATGGGTAATAAGGCAATTTGTGGTAAACACAATATTACTAAAGGTTATGTAATTGGCACATTATTTTTACATCACCTATTTCTATAAATGGAATTAAAATTTAGATAAAAATGATATACTCTCATTGAATGTTAAAACCTAACAGCAACACACACATTCTATCAAATAAACCAACTTTGTCATATATTACTTATTTTCAAAGAGCGCAGTTAAAAAAATTTAATAGGTTAATATAATATTTCGTTACCGCAACATTGTATATATATATATATCGTATAATTAAAGTTTTGATTTAGTCGAATCTCATTTCGCCATTGCATCACGCAATCAATAGAAGGGTTACTTTCATCTGTGAAATCAGTTAACACTCAGTAGTCGTTAAGTCGCATTAGTGTTTATTTCAATATATCAATTAGTAGTTAAGTGAATGAACACGAAGAAGACAGCACAAGTTGTAAAATGTATTTCAAAGTATGTTTGAAAAGTTAAATCTTTTTAATTTCATAATAAATAAAATAAAGAACTTGATTTTGAATCTTGTCGTAACAGTAATTTTTTTTTAAGTTTTTCCTAAGCAGACCGGCATTGAAATTAAATTATTAATCGAGCATATAAACAATTTGTGAACATTTCGCATTTAATTCTTTATACTTCAAACCGATATCCAAATACGCTTTTGGTTGCTGCACATTTTATTGATTTTACCAATTGTAATTTATAGAGAAAATTTTAAAGATATGTTGCTATATATTTGAGAAAATTTTTGGAGTTATAAACAGAAAAAGTTTCGAAAGAATTAGAGCTTTGAGCACGACTTCATGTCTGTAAATTTGTTCTTACTCGTCATTGTAAATTTTGGCACTTATTTTCATATTTATTTTCAAACTTGTGTAGAGATTTAAATGAAATCATACACTAATTATATATATATAAATGGTATTCTTTAGCCACTGACGCGATTCTCGACAGAGCTCGGCTTTTGCTGGTTATAAAATTTCGTTTTGAATTTTTACACGTAATTATAAAAACAAATATTTTAGTTACGTACATATGATTTATATTAGGTGATAAAAAAAACTTAGAAAAGGACGCAATGTACAAGAATAAAATGTCAGGAAAGAGTGTAAGCATAAAAAATGGAGTTTCCGATAACGGATCACAGAAGTTTTTGTGCGTAGACCCAATCGTGCTATCCTATTGCCATAACGTCTTCTAAATAATAATTTCTTTATGAGAGTGTGCCATGCCTTACCAAGTATGCTTAACCAATAACAGTGCAATCAAGTAATAAGCAAAAAACCATGAAATTTTCTATGTAGCAAATGCCAAAATTAATTAATTCTATTTTTATTTATCATATATGAAGTGTATGACATACTATTTAATTAACTAAGTTTGATTGATTTGATAATTGAAATATCGTATGTTCGCCATCAGTAAATACTTCTATATATTATATTAAAATGAACTTGCATGTGTTTGTGTTAGAATTGCATATACATATATAAATATAGAAATACACTTCTGTATACAAATATGTATATTATTATATAAGCCCATACGTAAAGACAATAAGAGTCAATGTTTGTTTTTTATTTTCATTTTTTTAGGCACCGTACAAAAGCAAATATTGTACCTGATAAATATATTATAATGTAGTACTGCAAATGAAATTCTATAGATTAAATTTTCATCGGAGTCTCCATGTTTTATTAGTGTCCATTAGCAACGCTAAATGATAACACTAATAATTTTAATACTCAAATATTTGTATATTGGCTTACACACAATCTTATGTTTATGGTTTCAAACATTCCAAGAAACTTTGAATAAAATCCAGGCCAGTTCTGAAGGAAAGATAATGTATACTTCAAAGTCAGAGAATCATGTCCTGCAGGATACCACTTTTAATGACGCTGCCGCCGGAGTTAATCATCTTCAAGAGGAGACTAAATTTTTCTATAAATGCAGTGGTAAGTATTGCTAATTGGGATACTGATGTATATGTATTAAAGTCAACGGTATCATATAATTAGTAAACTCTAGGTAGATATATGGTTAACGTTTAAGATTTAAATCTTCTCACCTCCGAGTTTATTTTTCACATAAGAAACGTTTCTCATAGGAATTCATCTGGTGTTCGGAAGCGGCTTAAAATATACTGGTCCCTCCATTTGTCCGTAAAACATCAAAACCCAATGGGAGAAAGATTTCGGCCAAAAATACCTTTAGCGGTTATAAATCGCCAGTTATATATTAGTATACTCTTACATATGTATGTTAGCACGTGTATGTTGCTTTATAATTAGCATTGCATTGAACGACATACATATTAGGTCAAGTCCGTTATTTTTGTATTAAATTGAATACTTTATTTACCATAGTTGAATTATCCATATGTACTGTTTTGTTCGATGAATTTTTGCCATGGAGAAGGTAATGTCATTATTATTGGGACAATTGACCGACTTCTCTTGAAAGAAATTGCCCACCAGCCAGCCAAATCATTCATCATAGACAGGAAATGATTGAGTGCGAGGTCCAGACTATAAGGTGTTTGTATAGGGACCTCCCAACCAAGCTTTTGGAGCTTCTGTCGAGTCAATGTTAATGTGTGTATTCTTAAGTTGTCCTGATGGAACACAATTCCACTCCTGCAGGCAAAAACTAGGTGCTTATTGGAGACTGCTTATTTGCTAAGCCCACCAAACACACACCAAATTAATCTTGGCCGTCGATCCTCGTTGGAAGATCGTTTGTGGCGGCTCACTGTCCATCATTCTCGACCGTTTTCTTTCAAGGTTGCTGTAAGTGATCCACTTTTCATTACCATTCGCTTCAGAAAGAGATAGATTTCGGAAATGGGGCGAATCGTAGCTGAATACAAGTTTCTTGTCATTGACTTTTTTGTGTAGATGGATTTTTTTAAATGATAACGAATTGTTTTTGATTTATGTTTGTCGCGTACCAGCCGCAACAAAAATTTCTTTTGTATTTGTTTGTTCATTTTCTTTGTTTTGCCTAACATTCCTTTCACTCCAAGCGTTGGCAGTGACATCTGTCAGCAAATAGTTGCATTATGTGAAGCCATGGATTGATGGCACGGTTGCATTCGGTGTGTGCCTACCCAGTGGTATAAGTCTCCATAGGGAGGTGTTCCCCAAAACCATTCCTCGACTAACAAATATTAGGGAAACGGAATGCTTTGCGCGGGTATTCCGCAAAAAGAGGTGTCGCCTTTTTCTTTAAAGCGACGAGGGGCAAAATTATCCCAGTGTACTTCTTGGTGTGCCATGGTTACGTGCGCTATACAACCCGGTCCCTTTGGGTAATGGGGGCGGCGCCAAATTATTGCGCACCAAAACACACTCGCAGGAGAATTTTGAAGGCTGACGCGTAGCTTGCCGCATCAGATTCTTCAAATCTACAGAAGAGTTCTTATTTATGTATGCATGCGAGTGGTTTATTTTTCGTGAGGATAAAATATTAATAAATAATAGAGTACCGCCAGTAAAGACGAGAGAAGTGTTTTCTTTTGTGTTTAGCTAGGAGAGGCAGAGAGGGCAGTTGAAGCCCCACCATTAATAGGAGTGCGTGTCCGGCGGCTTAACCGGAGCTTGGCAGCATCATCCGGAAGAGCAGCGAGATCGGGGCGCACACCTGACCAAGCAACCGCTAATTATCATTTTGTGGACGTATTGTTTGTCAAATTTTTGTCATACCGACAATGTCCCTTCCCTCGCTACGTCCTCACCCTTCGGGTATAGCATCTCACACCCAGAGCCCAGTCATATAGGCGAGTTAAAGTTACCCCCGGCAGCACAGTAGTAGTGTGAGTGAGTTCGTAATCAGTTTGGTTGGACCCCACCTCGGGTGCACCCCAAAAATGTATTTTGTTTACTTAGTTGCTTACTTGTTGTCCAGCTATGGTTCTTTCCATTTGTTTGTCGCGACTTAAGACTCACTTGGTGTTGTTTCTTTGATTCTTTGCTGATAGTCTTGTTGCATAAAAATGTTTTTTTTTATTTTGTTAAAGTTTTCTGTTTCTTGTGGTTAGGATCTTTTGTTGTTTTCGTGATAGGTCATTTTGGTGAGCCAGTATAGGGCAACGCGGAAAATTTTAGGACAATAACTCTTTTAGTTTTGGTAATAATTAAAATTTTTTATGATAAATATATTTTCTTTGGTTTTTTTTTTCTTCTGTAAATATTACATGGAAATAAACCGGTTGTCCCAAGAAGAACTCGCGTACTTGGTACGGTCGAAGCCATGAGGAAATCGATAAGAATGTCGTGTCAATTTGAAAAATTAAGTTCGGTACACCTCTTTCAGGATTACCCCTTCAGTTTCGACGAGGATAAGTCGGCTGTCGAAGCGAAACTGGAGGAAGTAGAAAAATTGATCATTTCTGTCTCGGGTGGAGGAAAGCCATCGCAGGAAGCGAAAGCGATGGCGGAAAACGAATGGTGCTATCGCGAATAGGATGATCGCGACGGGGGAGCGAAGGCATCTCGCCGAACTACAAGAGGTAGTCAGCAGCGAACAAGCCGAAGGTGGAATCGGTACGGTAGAGCGCTCAGGAGATACCGCGCGTGGTCGAAGAGACAGTCCAGTTTCAGAAGCCGGTGATCTTGTCAAAGTCGGACGTACACTTCGACGGTGAAAAAGCGAGAAATGACGCTTTTCGCGTTTTAGAACGGGTTGAGGAGTTGAGCGAGGCACGCGGTGTGACTAAAGCCCAACTCTTTCGAAGTGCGGTGGATGTATTTATAGGGAAAGCTCTCCTATTGTTTAGGTCAGTCACGAAGTCTATAGGTACGACGATAGGCTACTAGAGGCAGCGAAGTCGTCAGTGGATGATTTTGTCCCTCCTCCGAGTCATAAGGTCAAGGATTTGTTGGAACCTGACTTGGCTTATGTCTCGGCTGGTGTAGAGGTCCGGCTGTAACGGAGCCAGACCTCGTTGATAGTTTTAAGCCGGGGTCGAGCGTACCCAACAAAGTGCAGCTTCCAGTGGTGATCGAAACCACAACCGCTTCAAGGTCAGTACCGGTGACAAATAGTAGGTCGGATGACAGGGTAAATTCTCGGACACGCGGTCTAATAGGGCGAGTCAGTGAACCTGATATTTCCCAGCTGCAAAATTAAGGATTCGATTTTGAAGAAGATAGGTTAGCGTTTTCGTAGGTTAAGGGCGGTCACGACGAACGCACTTATTTGGATATAAGGATTCATGGTTATGCTTTTAGGGTTTTATTAGATTCTGCTGTAACCAGAACAGTAATAGGTCGATTTGGTTGGCAGAAATTAAGTTCGTATGTAATTAATGGTAAATTCTGTTTCCAATTTTTTGACAGTGATTCTCGCGGATGGAGGTCATATCTAGTTATAAGGTTCGGTGTGGTTGCCGATCGAGGTGGAGAGCACGTCGGTTCTCTTGGAATCCTCGTGGTTCACGAGTTACCTCAAGGTGGAATTCGTCGCTACGATTTTTGGGCCAAGGCGGGTATTATCCCCTAAGTATCGAGGATGAGGTGGTCGTTTCTCGGCCGGATGCAGAACCGTTGGTGGCAATAGTAGACCACTCTGATTAGGCGATAGAGAGTCTAGGGCATTCGGTCAGCTAATAGCTGGTGCGTAACATGCTATCCCGAAAGGGCTAGGCTCGACCCATTTGGTCGAGCATAAGATCAGGGTAACGACAGGAGTTGAACCTGTAAAGCAGAGGTATTACCCTGTGTCTCCCGTCATACAGTCAAGTATGGACGATGAGATTAAGGATATGCTCGACAAAGGGGTGATAGAGAAATCAAATAGTCCAAGGGCGTCTCCAGTTGTAATGATCAGAAAGAAAGACAGTACATATAGACTTTGCGTAGACTATAGGGCTTTGAATAAATGCACCGATAAGGATAGCTACCTTCCCTTCCATACGTGTCGGCGAACCTAGATAAGCTAAGGGATGCCAAATTTCTGCCCAGTCTGGATATAAAGCCCGTTATTGGTAAATTCCGGCGGAGGAGCAGTCGAGACCCTTCACAGCGCTTACGGCACCAGGCAGACGACTACTTCAGCTTAAGAGGATGCCATACAGTTTGCATAATGCACAGGCAACTTAGCAGGGATTTATAGACCTGTTCATATGACCAGAGCTAGAACCTCATGTTATTTGGACGATATTGTTATCGTCACAAATAATTTCGAGAAACATTAAGATATTTTGAAAAAAGTTTAAGATAGAGTGGCTGGAGCCGGGCTTGGATTAAATCGGGATAAAATTAATTTTTGTTGGTCTGAACTGAAGTATTTGGGTTACGTGGTGGACAAGAACGGTCTACGCGTAGACCCCGAGAAGGTAGAGGCGATGCTTCGAATTGAGGTACCGAAGAACGTAAAGCCAGTGCGGTCATTTATAGGAAAAGTGTCCTGGTACCGCAGATTTATTAAAGATTTCGCAGAGTTAATTAGGCCTCACCGATTTAAAAAGGAAGAACCGAAAATTCAATTGGACTTTAGATTGTGACAGGAGTTTTAGAGAAGCGAAGGAACGCTTGGTGACAGTTCGGGTTTGAGTTTCTAAATTTTTCGGAGTGACTCTCACGGACGGAGGTCATATCACGATGTTAAGTTCGGTTTTGTTGCCAATCGAAGTGCAGAGCAAGTCAGTCCTCTTGGAATGTCTCGTGGGTCCGGAACTACCTCAGCGTATTCCTTGGCATCGGTTTTTGGGCTAAGGTGGGTATTATCCCGGATGTATCGAGAATGAAGTGGTCGTTTTCTCGACCGGAACCAGAACCGTAGGTGGTAGTAGTGGACCACTCCGAGTAAGCCGATAAAGAGTCTAGGGCATTAGGACAGTTAATAGCTGGGACGTTCCAGGCTATGCCGGAGGTGCTAGGCCGGACTCGTTTAGCCTAACCTAAAATCAGGGTAGGTAGGAGTTGAACATGTAAAACAGAAGTATTACACTGTG